AAATTTCCTGTCCAACCTCAAATAGAATTTAATCTAATCTTCATAGCAACTCAATAAACGACAAAAAGTAAGTCCGGCGAGGTAATTTACCGGGAAGACTTAATTAAGTGTCCCTTCAACGTGTATAAACGAACACAATAAAGTAGAAAAAGTCAAGGGTGAATGAAATAGTAATGTACTCGGTTAATGTCTCTCGTAGATCTGATTCCCGGGACGTAAAACGAAATTTGCATTAATTTGAATTAAAAACCGCGACGAACGTTGTTCTTCAACGGCTCGGATCGATGTTGAGGGTACGTGTCACATATTCTTAACGGGAAAATTGCCATTTTACGGCTTACAGGAATAAAGCGGTTGCAAAAGAACGTTACGTTCACATTTAATTTTTTTCAACATTAATCCCTCGAGTACGCTCAAAGTAAAACATTTACATACAAATTAGTTTGTATAATTTTTGGAAGTTTTGATTAAGGAAAATTTTAAATAATTCATTAAGTTCGCGCTTTCAAGTTGCGGAAAATTATGAATTATTAAAGTATTACGGTCTCCTCCGTTCAAACGGTACAACTGCACTTTTTTACCCCATGGGCAGAGAGTCAGGTTAAACGAGACATCGCCTAATTGGCTCTAAAACTGTACTGGCACTTTTTTTGCGATTTGTGACTGATTTGTACTGTAAATAACATCACGATTGAACTTAATTATACGTTTTGCTAGTTTACAGACAGTTATAGACGGTGCCCGCATCAATTTCACCAAAAAAAAACGACGGAAATTACAAAATTAGCTTTCTATCGCATTTATTAGCAATACAAAATTTGTAAGTGCGCCTGTGGTAGCCACTTAATTAAGTTTCGTCGCGATGACATTGAGAAAAATTTTTAATGAGTACATTGTAAACGATCGGAACGGTAAAGTGAAACGTGAGAAATGGCTTGCATTAAACGTGATATGCTAATTGGGCGACGTTAATAGGAAGAGAATCACAATTAACGTGGGCTTAAAAAAATTTTAACACGAGCATCCTCTCACTTTCTATGTACGCCTCCATTAATCATTTCCTATTGTCTGAATATTTTTCGTGAAATTGTCCTGTAGTTCAGAGGCGCGCGTTTTAAAATTGAATTTTACCTCTCACCTACGAAACAACAAGCTACGAAGAATCGCGTACGATTTATGATTTTTTTGCCACTCGACCCGCACCAGACTTTTAATCCGGCTCATATTCAATGGCACTAATCGTTAAACCTTAGAAATCGATTGGCGAAGGTTTGACATCGCTGTCTTTTTTCGCCTCGATATCGGGAAAATCAAATCTTTGGTACGTAGTGGATAACGGAGCGATTTACAAGATCGTTAATCTCCAAAGGGGTTTCGTTAATACCTGCAGTTATTAACTATCATGAAATCTCCAGGTATAAACAAATTCCATGTAAGTAGGTCACAGGTAGAACCACATGTTTAGCTTCAGCGATGAAATCTGCCGGTAATGTAGAAACTCATCTATCAATTGACGGCTAAAACTAATAACGTACTACATGGATAGTAGTAATATCCAGGTACATAGATCAACGTAATAGGTAATCCAAAAGAAACGCGATGAGAAACAACAAGAAAACTGTGAGTTAAGGGAAGTTAAAGCCCTAAAAAGTAATAATGCGCATACCTCGTATTGTTCATATGCAAATACAAATGCGTAAAAACGTTTCAATGGAGCCTCAACCACAGACATCAAGAAGAGAAAAATCACTCCAAAGATAATATAGTAGAGCCAATAAACAATATACCCCTGACGGTAGACACGAAGTGAGAAAAGTAAAAGTGCCAATGCGAAAGCAGAACTTCCACTGAAGAGGAAGAAGCACAACGAATGCGTAAGGTCAAACTAAAGGGAGAAGTGATAGCATTAAGCGCAAAGTTGCATCCATTTCTATACGAAGTAACTGAAGGCCTTGCTTAAAAGTTTCTTTGAGGTATCCTCCTTTTTCCCATATAATTTCCTAGGTGTTCTCTTAAAATTTGTATTCATCTTCTCTGAATTCCTTCACGTCCCCCTTCCAACATTTTTTCATCCTCAAAATTCATCTAATTCCTCGAAATTCACAACATAGATTTACCTCATCCCCCATTTTTTGCCTTCCACTTCGAAATTTCCAGAATTATACAAAATAAAGCTACACAATTTTATAATGAAGTGGCGCGAGCGTACGTTTAACCTTTGATTTTGATCTAGGGGGTTGCAATCACTTCTCCCCTAATTAATGGCGTATATGAGCTGTATGTCAAAGGGTTTTCCATAAAGCAGCCGCTTGCAGTGCTCGCAGTAACACTACTTTTGAAAGTTGTCTTTGTTTCGCTGAAATTTTTTCGTTAGCTTTCTAGAAATTTCTTTATCCCTTTATATGTCTTATTTTTTATTTCTTAAAATTCTTTTACTTTATTTTCCGATCATTTTCTCTAATTTCGCTAACTTTTTTGAAGTAGGTCCAATTTCTTTTCATTTCGCTGAGATATTCGTCATATTTGTCTAGATTTTTTTGGTATATCTCAAAATGTTCTCTTATTTCCTTAAATCTTCGCTTTTTCCCGATCTTCTTCTTAATCCCCAAAATTTCCTTATTATATTTTCCGATAATTTTATGTAATTTAACTCATTTTTTAATATTTACCATACATTTCACCTCTATTCCCTATTCTCCGCCCCAATCAATATCCCGCGGTTGCTCAGTTCTGGTTCTTTTATTTCGCGGAGGTGCCCTGCTTTTTTTGTCCAGAATTTCCTGAATTTTCCAAATGTATGTTGCGTATCTTCACCACCCCTTACCACATTTTCCCCAAATCTTTTTTGTATTTCCCTACAATTTCCTCTGATTTCGCACATTTTGTTGGTCCCCTATACATTTTCCAAGTATTTTGGACGAGAGAGGTAAGCATCCCTCGGAGTTGACCACGCCACATAATGGAGGTTTAGGATTTACTTCATTACCCTTTGACTTCCTTAAGTTTCTTCCCCAATTTCTATACGAAACGACTGTATTCCTTAAAAGTTGACTTTTATTTCCTTGAGATTCCTTCTTGCTCTTTCCTTAGAGTGTCTTTATATCTTCTAAAGTCACTAGATATAGAAAGTGCCATTTTTGGGCAAATTTGCTGCCAACTTAAAAAAATTGACAAATAAAATCTGAATAGCTGTCATTTTTTATAACCTAACTTCATAGTACTGTCATGTTTTATAAAAAAATATACAGATATCTCCAAACAGGTGGAACAATCCCTAGCATTAAAGTTACTAGAATCTGGTAACTTCCGCCATTTTTGGGCAAAAATCATGCGTTCTCTCTCTAACACACGAGCCCAATGGATTGCGGTACTTTCTACATTTAGTGACTTTAATATCTTCCAGGAATTTCCCCCTCCTTCTCCACACCCAAATCTTTTGTATTACCCTTATCAAATATCGCAATAGATTCCTCCAATTTCACACAATGAACTCTGAACGCTACGCTTAGGAAATGGAAATGAAAATCCCCTCCGACGGCTAATTTTCTTTGTTGAAATTTCGACAAATGCCAAAAATTGCAGAGCGCAGTTGTTTTTCTGGTGGATCCTTGTATAGTTACCAGCACACCACTCTTTAATTAATAATAAAGCTAGTGAGTTTGATTCGGAAATACTGTTATCTTCACAAGTAGGAGAAAGCTTTAATACGCATCAAATTGCAACTGAATGTTTCTAACTAGGAGCAACGGCTTTCCAAACGCAAATTGGTCACAACATTCTAAACGCTAATCATCTTTTTCTATACAGTTCTCTACCGCGAGTAAATTTTTGGACCACGCACTGGTCGCTTCGATTGCCGCAAAACGAATTAATTAAAATTAAATGAAAAGGGGTTCTAACCCCAAGGTCAATTGACTACCCTAGCACTTATAGGTAGGGTAAAAAAAGTCCTTCAGTCGCCAATTCCTCGAGTTAAAACAGGATGCACTGCGAAGTGAGGTTGGCATTTGAGTGAGGGAGACTGCACGGGATGCTTCCAATTTCTATAGGAAATAATTAAAGTATAAGATTGTCAAAAGGACAATTAATTTAATTTGCCCACGGCTAGCTCAGTAATAAACAATGTTGTTCACTCCTTACCTTGGGCCTCTTATTAACAATTGCCGAGCGAGTCGAAGGCAGATTTCCCCTTCGGCTCGCTTACAGTTAATACAGAAGTGTTCTAAAACGTTATCATGTCAAGTAATTATTGTAAAACGAGCGAGCCGGAGATGGTTGATAAGATGAGTCTACTTACGCCGAACTCGCCTTCGATTCGCTTCGAATTATCACAGTAGTGTAAGATATCAGACTTCTCACAATTTCTGAGTCAACGGAAGGCGAGTTCGACACAAATTCGCCCACTTTATCTACAAATGGATAGATGCAAAGTCATTAAAAATTAAGTCGCCTTTTCAGACAATATCTCACCCATTCGTAGTACAAGCTTCCTTTTACACATTGCCAATATTACTTGTTAGGATCTCAGAAATCCAAGAAGATTCAAAGTTGGAAGGTATAGAATCCATTGGCTGGCAACATTCTTCCACTTCTTTCGCTATTTGAATCTCGCCCACGAGAAAATCCGAAAAGGGATTTATTTCCGAACGCAAATGACCCGGGCTGGCTTGCCCTAACAACCACTAGAAAATCGGCATTTCACGTGCTCTGCTTTAAACAGAACGAAACTACACTTTTGGGTCTCAAGAGATCGTGGTAACCGCGCTCGCTTTCCGCAATACGATTCTGGTTATCGCCAGACATACTTTCGCTCACGTGCGCTATAAAGCGGTACATGTGGACATTTCCCTATATTGACCAAAATCGAAATTCAAGACGTGAATGTTAAAAGGTCAAAAACGCTTATAAAATATATTTGTTATAACCTAAAAGATCTTCAAGAAACTATGGCAAGGGGGTCATCGTTGATTGCAATAATTACTATTGTTCCTTTGTTCCAGTGTGGGCGCAGACAGAGACGAATATGGCCAGAAATTAGCAGTCCACTGCAAAAAGGGAACATTACGGTAGACGACTGAGGACCGAAAAGGGGCAGTAGTTAAAGGTGAGTCGATTCAATTTGACAGAAATTTGTAAGGGTACCCGTCCTTGGCGCTTCCCTACGAAAGGAAATTGAAAATAAAAATATTGACACAAGATGAGGTTTTCTATTCAATCATCGGATCAGTGTTACTTTGTAAAGTTTTGGATTTCAATAGGATTTCGTAAACTTCTCCCTTTAGAAGTTTTGTGTGGAAGTATATACAAAATTGTATCCGATCAAATCGATTGTAATAAAATCAGAAACTCGATACAAATTTTAACTTTTCACGTAGGATGATTATTCAAAGAAAATTTGGAAAAATATCCATTTACATCACGACATCGTCGCCGTCCTTTTTTCGGAGTGGGTGTAATTATTATTAATGCATGCAAGAACGAAACGTAGGTATTATGTACGTACAAGACATGAACTTTAAGTTTAAATGGATTCGTTCTTATTACACGCAACTTTTAGGGAAAGTTTTAAGGGGTTAAAGTTTTATTAGTCCAGCTTTTGCATTTTCTGATCTCTCGGGCATTTTAATGGTTGAACTGAATATTCAACGAAATCTTGACATATTATGCAGCACGCTAGACGGACGCCGCCGCCGCCCGGTGTAAAACGAGTGTGCCATTTACGTCCTCCACGATTTCCTCCTGTGTAATTTTTACATCTCGCGTTTTCCGTGTATACGCCGCCGGTTTACTTTAATTTGATTGATGCTCGAAAAGTGAAGAGGGAAAAAATTGAAAAGGCGCGGATGCGAAATACTCTCTCTACATTTTCAACGGCATAAAAAATGGACGAGCAGGCGTTTCTTTTTTATGGGGAGAAAAATAATTTCGCTAAAATTTTTCTTGGGAAAATTCGTGTTTTTAGAGTACTTGTAAGAATTTGTTTCGTCGAGAGGAATTTGATTTATGAGAGTAACTTATACATACAAGCGACGTGTTTGGCCGTGTGATTGACGTTTCTGTCGCGCTGCCTATAATGTTACAGAGCAATTTTGAATTTGGTTTCAGGTGTCACGACATCTACGGAAATGCCGCTACAAAATTGCATTTCGATATAATAACTAAATTCCACACGGCACAATCTTGAATAAAGGACGATTGACAATGTACGAATGACATCTACTTTCTTACTGAATTTCTGCTCAATTTCTACTACATTTTAATTGTGGCCGCTTTCGTCAGTCGGAATGATCTGGACTTAATTGTACGTCCACATTCTAAGATCTCAAACCTCAAAAAATCTATCTAAGCTTCTTGGACCACTCTTGTCTTCTAGCTAAGGCATCTCTTTCTAACGTTATACCTGTTTTAGAAACTCTGACCTAGTGCTTCTCACGATGCTTATAATGTTATCATGAGTAAGCCTCTTTGGTCACGTAAAACTCATTAAGATTGCATTACCGCCCGTCAGACTGGCGCTGCAACTTTCCCAAGCGATTACCCGGAAACCAATGACCCGTAAAGTATGGATCGCCAAATTAATTCCGATACTATTGACTAAATCTTGTAACTAGCCCTCTAAGGAAACCACCCTCTATACCTCCTAATACCTATCATCCAAAATAAATTCGAAATCCAACCATTAATTTGGAAAATCGCCCCTAAACTCAATCCATCTACCAAAATCCCAAACGCGCCCTAATTTCCCGCAACCGATCCAACAGTTACGAATTTTGTTCTGCCCTCTCCCATCCCACCATTATTACTATGGCATTATTTCTGAAGGGACGCAATCGTATCTTTCTTTTCACCTAAAAGTTACTGGTGCCATCTTGGCTTTTAGGTACCAGTTCATGCCTTTCGTTTTTTCGACACCAACTAGAACTTCTTAAGTCCTGCCTATTAAGGGCTCCACCTCGACACCACCTCATCTTTCTCGAGTTTTTTGCCGCTGCCATGAGCTCTTCCTAGATCCCAACTGTGTCATCCTGATGTTAGGGGCTACCTGAAAGGGTTTTTGCCTGACTCTTCATGGCACCGCTTGTTTGACCATAATAACCCGCACGCAGGTGGTCGACAATTAAAATAATAAATCTAAATAAGTAATAACACTAAACTTCATGGAAAACTTGGCTTGTTGAATTTGATGACAAATTTTCGGTAACTGTTCGGAGGGTAGTAACCTTTAAGAGAAGAGAACCTTAACAAAAATACTTGTCTGTGTACTACTACTTTATGAATTTTTAAATTAATTAATTAAAGCATCTTATCTGAATTGTACACAATTACAAAGCGATAAAATTAAAACGAACAACATTACGCATGTAACAAAATTTTTAAAAGGGAAAGCAAATACTGAGATACAAATTCAAGTAAAATAAACCAACTTTGTGCTTATTTCGTAAAAAATTGATACCTAATTAATTGAAACAATCTCATATATGGGGTGTTCCGTCACTATTTTTGGTGTTCAGGCCCAAAAAACATTTAGATCACGTTGTTTACGCAACAAATGATACACAAAGGACAACCTTCCTAATGGTAGCAATAACGGCAAACCTGGACTGAAATCAAACAAATTTCTACACACCCTCTAAAAGGGCAAAGACAAAATATTCCTGCTGGCCAGATAACTAAATTTACATTAGAAAACAATATAACCAATAATTCTAAATAAGCTAATTTAATTTAAGACGAAACTTAACCGGTGGAGCTTTGTTATTTTTTCGTAATAAGCATAAAACGATGGCTTTAATTTCAGACAGTTTTGGCGATTTGACAAAGGGGGTGATTGAAGAAATTGAACAGAATTCGGTGATGGTGAAAGATCGACTAATTTTAGGAGAAACCTACGAAATAGGTAGGCGTGAAAAAAATTAATTGCACAACTCCTACATTGCAGAGGAGAAACAGATCGCGATAGCGGAAGGATGTTCGAAAATGTTTACCTTACGTTATTTTAAACAAGTAATAAATTTCGTTTTAAAATTGGCCAAGAGAACCATGACCACGATTCCTATCTTTCCGCTCGAGACAAATTGCTGTCGTAGATCACCATTTTATAGATCACCAGCGCCTAATCTTAGATTTAAATGTTTGTTTTTCTACACGGTGCTGGATCTTTAGAAAACCCGCATCCTTGCCGTATATACTTTTGATACATAAAGAATTATGTAAGTACAATAAAGGTAAACTGAGCGCGTAGGGTGCGGTTTCAACCCCATTGTCTGGAATATTTATACGGCACTTATTATTTTAATGTTCTCCGTCCGGCTTTTAAGGCGTACCATTTATTCCTCGCGAGGCATTTACAAACGGCCGCGCTCGTCACTTATAATTCTCCCGAGATTGTGCTGTAAAAGTAAATGAGATGATCATTCAGGGAGTTATGATCCACGAGTTTTCAACGATAATTACTGATAAATGCTGTTCTTGCGATGCTACCGCTCATTATGCCACTTTCACATGCAATACTTCAATTATCAAACTACGGGGAGCCTAAGAATTCAATCGCCAACCCCAAACGGAGCTCGTCGGATTTTGTACATAAAAGGTCAATGGATTTCGCGAACTTCATATAATTAATGTAAATTTTTTTTGTATGGTAGATTGGATAGCACTCGAATTGGTACTCAGATTTACTGGATTTAGGATGTGAAAGGACGAGGTTCCAGAAAAAAAATTCGACTATCTGGAACAAAATTCGTGAGCAGGAAAGGAAAGTTCTCAGTCATGATTACAAGAGGAGGAGATCAAACATGAAAAGCAACGCCGACGAGAAGAGAAGGTCAATTCTTGCATTAACTACGCTGTAAACTTTATCAGAAAAATCAACGATCATGCTCGCCATCATGTCAAAGGTGAAGGTCATCAGATGAGGAAATTAAAGATCCGATTATTAACTAGCATCCTGAGCTGTTTCCAGTTGAGTGCCCAAGGGCGCCGAAGAATGTCGCAGGCAGTCAGACTCGCCTTCAACTCCATCCCCTGTTCTGAAACTGTGTTGCTACTCTTTTATCAAGCCCAATCGAGCGCCGATAGATTCTTTTCCTTTTTTCCACATTCTATAAGAAAATTTTTTCCGGGTCGATCTGAGACAATTTTTTTTTCGGGGCCTTCTTTTTTTACCAAAAATCGACTGCACCAAAATTTCTCGGGAAAACACTTTTTCTTATTAATTTTGGTGCGTAGAATCCAAATCAATTCGTACTTTTTCGATCAGACTTCTCATCAAAAGTTATAGACTAGAAACCAATTTCGAAAGGGCTGTAACTTTTGAACTAGTAGCCCAATCTTGGAACTGTTTGAAATTATGGATTCTACAGGCCACATTCTATAAGAAAATTTTTTTCCGGGTCGATCTGAGACAATTTTTTTTCGGGGCTCAAAAAAAGGCAGTGTACAACCTCCCTTTTTTACCAAAAATCGACTGCACCAGAATTTCTCGGGAAAACACTTTTTCCGGGTTTATAGGGTTTACAGTGAATCGCTTGAACATAATCGAGCAATGACAATATTTAACCCACCTCAAAAATGCAACCCTCTAAAGGACATGCCTGTACAGGATAAGGTCGATTTTTCTTAAAAAATTAAGTAATACACAATCTGCTCGGGGTTAAATTTCTATTTGCGTTTATGGGGTTTGGAGTGAATCTCTTGAACGTAACCGACCAAGGAAACAACAATCTTTGACCCACCTCAAACGTTGCAACAAGGACAAGAAGTAGGACGAAATTCAAAGGTCCAAGGAATGGGAATTCATTTCCAATGGTTAATAGTCAGGGTTCAAAATGAAGTATAAAATTAACTAAAATTAATAATCTAGTATTGGGGATGAAAATGCAAAATTTAAGAATGGCACCAGCGAGGTAACTTCAAATGTCCAAGATGGAAATGGAACTCCAATAACCAAGTGTTGGTAATGATGATTGGATTAAATTTGTTCGAGCAACACACCTCTTCATTACTCGTTTGATACATTTTGCCGAATGTATTTATAACGTATAATTTTAGACGAATATTTTACATGTGTCGAGTAGATTTCTCAAGGAGCGTCTTTAATTAATAAAGATTAATTCAATCGCGGCGCGTCCGGACGCGCTAACGGGGTTAGAAAAATTCGGTTCTGTCTAAATTTCGTTTACGTTCACGTTTTGCAACGTGATTAATCGAATATTTAAATACAATTGGCACCGGTGTAGGAATAGAAATGCTGAGATCAAGCGCGGGCATGAAAAATGATGTTACACGTTGACGCTTAGCGTCGCCGTTGACTGATTAATTGTCGTACATCACGGTCTTATTTACTTGTCGCTCATTGCTTGAATGGTTTCGCTGTGAGAATGGCGGAATAAGTCTATTGAATTTGAGTTAGTAGTGATTACTGAAATGGGGTGAGTTCCTTAGTGGATCAAGATCGGTTATGATTGAGAAAACGCGTGGAAGGGTGCATCTAACTTTCCCTTTTAAATCTTCTCCAGTTAATTTTCTGGATTGGAATTGTTTACCGCTTTTCGCAAGTGGTCCATCCACGCTTCGGGACGCCCAACAAAAAGTGTCAAATTTGGGGCTGTGATAATCCATCTACAATCAAATAGTTTGTACATACTTGTTGGACAATTTTTCTAATTCTATGTGCGAGTGCGCCATCTTGTTAGTATAAGGATTTTAAATAATAATAGCTCTAACATGTGTTTCTTTTTTTGCAGGTGGGTGGATAACTGCTATATCTATATTGTCGCACTTTGGGTGAGTTCAAATTGTATCTCCAAAAGAATCATTTACCGATTTAAACCATGTCATCATATCTTTTTAATCGTACTTTATTTCTATATTGGGAGGCCTTTTTGTGGAGATTTACATATCTAATGATTCAATAAAACCATAAACCTAAACCTAAAATTACAAATCAATCTGCACATGTTGTCGAACGGTATTTTTTAGCACATTTTTGATTCTGTTTGGGCGCGTCATATAAATCGAGAGAGCAATATTCAAGAAGTTTTTAAAGAAAGCACAAAATTAATTTTACATAATCTTTTGACAGCTGATATATAGAGTGTGTCCCAGATCGGGTGGGATTGCATGGGTAACTTTGTTATTATTAAGGATAGAGAATTGGTTAAATGGGCAATGTTTTGCAGTTTTAGATGCTTATTTAAAATTTCCTTTTGGAAATTCAAAATGTCGCATAGGTTCGACGTAAATTCAAAAAAACTAAAATTGGTCATTTCCTTGAATGTCTTATATCATCGAAAGTGTAAGAGATATAACAAAAAGTTTTATATAAAAGTTACTGTCTTTGATACGTTTAATTTAGAATTGATGTCAAAAAAATTCAAGATGGCTACTTTTGAGGAACATTTAACAACTTCCAAAAGTTAAATAGGCGCCATATGGGATTTTTAGATTACTTGACAGATTTTTTAATTCTCTTTTCAACGAGACATCATAACATAAGATTGAAAATAAGATACCAGTTATATCAACGGTTTTTATATTTTAATTAAGTAGGCTGTGATGAATTAAAAAAAAACAAAACAAAATCTATTCGAGGCAACAAAACAATGAAAATAATTACATCAGATGTTTAAAAAAATCGGGGACGCACAGGGGGGGGTTTGGGCATTACAACTCCCTCCAAAATTTTATATAAGCATTAGGTCTAGAAAAATTTGATTTTTATAACATCACTTATTGCCTTATTATCCATACTTACATAGGTACAAATGGTGGTATAACTACAAACTATCCCCTCCAAAAAAGTCATGCCATTATCCAGTTAAAGACATTTCAAGACACTTCGCTTTATTTTACACAATGTATTACCATTGATGCATTGTCCCAGGCCACATTTTGTAGGTGGTTTATCCGCAAGAATATCGAAACTAGCAGTTTTACCAGTCCGAGTATATGGACAGATGAATCTTATTTTTCTAACTGCGAAGTGTTCAAATCGACATTATGAACACTACTCGTCACAGGGAAACCTACATGTTGTAGTTTCACGCCGAAATCAAGTAATATTTTTTTAAATTAATGTATTTTATGGCATAATGGGAAGTCATGTAATTGGACCGGTAATCTTCGATGGATCTTTAACTGCTCACCATTATTCACAAATTCTCCAATAAACTTCCTTAAAGGATTTTTCTCGACAACGTATGTTTCTAAGGAAGGGTTAGTTTATGCTATCTACCAACAAACTGGCTGCTCAGGTCACAATTCACGAATTATGTACAGTACATTAAATTATAAAAGTAAGTACTTAATTAAACAAGTTGTAAATCAGCATATGCATGATTAAAGCGCATTTTTGGTAATACAGGTCAGTATTTTATTAGCGAAGTTTAAAATTATCGATCTCACGAGTAATTTTGGCTGCGTTAAATAATTAATTTTATTTAATTTCAATTGACGGTACGTCTTCATTTTGTAAAACAAATCGCAAAGTAAATAATAAGTTTTTATGCTTGAGGTTTCAAAGAAATTTTTAGGGACAACTTTAACTACAAAGGTGAAAACTGATAAAACACTGCTAAGAAATTTTCTGCATGTCATTGACTGGTCCTGTGTATATGATCAGGGTGAAGTGTCTGTAGCGTTTGACTTATTCTTAGGTATTTTAAAATCGAATATAGATAGGGCATGTTATACTTACGCAATAACTTCAAAACATAAACTTATTAAAGACTGGATGACGGTAGACCTTTGCAAGCGACAAAAATTTAGAAACTTATTATACAAAAAATTTAAAAGGAGAAATAATGACGAAAAACTTGCTCGTTTTTTTTACATCTTATTCAAATAAACTCAAGCAAGATATGGCATTACAAAAAAGAGTGTACTATTTTAATCTGTTTGAAAAATATAAAAATGATGTAAGGAAGCAGTGGGTCGTTCTTAACGGGGATAATAAAGTAAAATGCGAAACGGAATACATTGTATCTACTGATGGCCTTGTAGTCACAGAACCTGAAGATGCTTCAGAAGCTTTCAATGGTTTTTTTGTTTCTGTAGTTGAAAAAATCCGCGAATCCTCCAACTTGTCATTCACAAACAGTGCCGAGTACTACCATCTATTTCCAACTACATTGGTTGAGAAATCTTTCTTCTGTAGCCCCACTTGTAGACAGGAGGTAGAAAGTGTCATAAAAGCCCTAAAATGTAATAAAAGTCCGGGAATTGATGGTATATCGGTGAATACTGTGAAAAATGTCAACGATATCATTTCGCCAATCATTTCTGATTTTTTTAATTCTAGTGTAGAAACTGGTAAATCCGGATCCACTCAAAAAAGCACTAGTGATCCCACTGCACAAAAGGGTGATGTTACAAACATGAATAATTATAGGCCAATTTCATTACTTTCTGTATTTGCTAAAATTTTTGAAAAACTCATGAAAAAACGTTTGCTAAACTTTTTAAAATTTAATAAGATACTAGTCGGAAATCAATATGGCTTTCGAGAGGGAAGATCAACTGAAGATGCGTTATTAAATTTTTGTTCAATGCTTTTTGATGGACTTAATAAGCGACAATATGTTAGCGGGATTTTCATTGATATCACTAAAGCGTTTGACTCTGTGGATCACGATATTTTGTTACATAAATTATGGACTGTAGGTATTCGGGGTATTTCGTTAGAATGGTTTAAGAGCTATCTACAAAATCGGACACAATCTGTACGCTATAGGGGAGCAGTAAGTAAATCATTGCGGAATGTTTCTGGTGTTCCTCAAGGATCAGTTCTTGGTCCAATTTTATTCCTTATTTACATCAATGACCTGTGTGCAGCTAACCTCCGCGGAAGTTTAACTTGCTTTGCAGATGATGTGTTACTCGGCACAAGCCCCGGAACAATTGCAACATTCGATGCAGGCCGATTTAGATAAGTTAAGGTTGTGGTTCAATTACAACAAAATGGTTTTAAGCACCAAAACCAAGCTTCTACAGTTTTCTCTAAGACGTCACTCAAAAAGTATTAATATTTATTTTAAATGTCAGAATTGTTTATCTCATGAGCAGCCATACTGCGAAAGGTGTGTAAAAATTGAACAAGTTGAAACTATAAAATATCTTGGTATTACCATGGATAACTGTTGCCATTGGAAACCTCACATCAATACGTTAAAGCGTTATATGTATATGGCAATGAGAAAATTCTATTTGTTAAAATTTATCTGTCCGCAACCTATCTTGAAGAACGTTTATTACTCACTGATAAACTCTAAGTTGCAGTACGGTATATGCGTGTGGGGCGGTACATATTTGTCGTCCATAAAACCATTACTTGTTGCTCAGAAAAAAATAATTCAAATGATTTCTGGTGTGTCAATGTTACATTCGTCATTTCCCTTATTTGTTTCATTAAAAATACTGCCATTAAGATACATGTATGTGTTTCGTGTTTTAAGAATGTTCTATCTTAGGAGTGGTTACATAGAGGGTAATTATAACGTTCACTCAAACAGATTGAAATCTAAGAACCTTGTGTGGACTACTAAGCCAAACATCGAGGCCTATAAGCATTTTTATACATACTGTGCACCATATTTATTTAATAAATTACCAAGCCACTTATCTAGTATAAGAATATGTACGAAATTTACAAATAATTAAAAATCGTGGTTACTAACAGTTTGCGACGTAGAAATTCTTTTTTTACAATAGATACACCATTTATTTATTTGTTTATTTTTATCTTTCTTTTTCGTTAATCTTTAAATAGTGTATTCTTCGTAGGTATAACTCTTTGCCTTTGTCTCCATCTTGCTTGATTTTTACTGTGATAACAAGAAGATAGGTTAATAGGCGTATTATTTTCTTATCTAAAGTTTAACTTTCATTACACCGTTACAAATCTCTCGCCACTGATATCATTATTACTGCAATTTTTAAGTTCTTTTTTCTCCGTTTAATTTATGTAGTGCATTTGGAATTAATATTAACTTGGTTTTTTTAAGTGATGGTAACCTCAACACAACAGTAATTGTTTAATGAGGTACCTATCTGCGATTCATCTAGTCTTATTTACTTGTTTTAGTTTATTATTATTTTTTTTTTTTTAGAACATATTGTTATTTTTTGTCTGTTTTTGTGTATACAATGATGAACGTGGAAATAAAAGTATCTATCTATCTATCTAAGTTTTTATACTGGTAGCGCTATCTAACGGTAAAATTATAGTACCTCCGAAACCCATATCGAAATTATTTTCTTCAATTATCGATCTCACAAGTAATCTAACTCAAAATAGAATAGTGCCTGCACATCTACACTATAGCAGAAAGCTTTTAGTGAAAATTTGAATTCTCTAGCTATTGTAGTTGTGGAGATCTAACGCGGACAGCCGGCCTGCCAGCAATGACGAATATAATAGCGTATTTTTTTCAAAAATGCGCTAAAAATAAAAGTAAAGTGGAAGTAGCTACCACTACAATAATAATAATAATCATCAATGGCAACACGTTGCCTAAACTAAACTGTCTTGAAGTGTGTTTCACTAATAATGGCCAGTATTTTAAACATCTGGTGTAATTATTTTCATTGTTTTGTTGCCTCGAATAGATTTTGTTTTGTTTTTTTTTATTCATCACAGACTCCTTGATTAAAATACAAAAACCGTTAATATAACTGGTATCTTATTTTCAATCTTATGTTATAATAGCTTGTTGAAAAGAGAATTTAAAAATCTATCAAGTAATCTAAAAATCCAATATGGCGCCCATTTAACTTTAGGAAGTTGGTAAATGTTCCTCAAAAGTGGCCATCTTGAATTTTTTTGACATCAATTCTAAATT